TCCCCCCCCCCCCCCCCCCCACACATAAATAACCCCCAAACATTGATTTTTTTTCTTGCTTGAAGAAAGGATGGAATCATTAATGTAGTTGGATGGGCAAATAACTAAATTTGAATTTTGTCAGATGTTTGTTCATCATGTCATGTAGTTGATGAGTTCTTTATTGCTTTGTTTTTGAGGCATATTTTCTTACTTCTGATAGTGAATTGTATTTGGAATGATTGTATAAAGTTGGAGTTCTTTCCATTCCCTCTGCAGAGTTTAGCGTCTTCTGTCAAGATTTTTTTTTCCCCCAATTTGGTTATATCTATTGCCTTCTTTTCTTTGCAGGACTTGTGATGAAGCCCAACAAAACCTATCATCTCCGAATTGGTTGCTTCGGCTTCATGCAGAGCTGGGAAAACAGGGGATTAGTTTACCAGAAAGGTGATTCCACTTTAATTAAATATTCAAAAGGGAATTGCCTTTGGTTGAATTTTTTTTTTTGGTGGGAATAACAATAATCATTGAGAAATTAATAAACAAAAGAATGTTTCAGGGAAGATTAATCCAGATTCACGTAGAAATGTAAGAGAAACTACAAGCCTTTTAGTTGCATAAGAACTCTAATTAAATGGTCACATAGTGACATCAAAACGTTTTGGTTGAAAGTGAAAAGGCTGGACTTTTTCGAACTTCTAATCAAGAAACAAGTAACTCTTACACTTGTTGGGTCTATGGCTTAACTTTGAAAAAAGGTAAGAATAGACTGTTTCTGAGGTCAACTTCCCAAGCTTTACCAAATTAATTAGCCGGCTTGACCAAAAAATAAATATAATTGGTAACATCACTTGCTCAAATCATGTTTGGGGCTCACTGGAAGCTTAGGTGCTTTTTTCCAGGAAATATTGTAGTTCAGATAACTTTCATATTCCTATCTTCCATTGAAGGTACTTCCTTGCCTTCAGTGTGTTTTTTTTTGTTAAGATTAATTTTATGGATAATATTTGGCTGGATATTGTTTTTAAAGTTATTTTCATGTGGAGCACCTCAATTATTTTTCCCCCGAAGTGCTTTTCTTTCACCAAAATATGGATGAAGTTACTGGACAAAAATGTTTTGGGGATTCCTCATGTTTTCTTGCTGGCATATTTATTTTCAAATTCCTTGGCTTCTCTTGTTGCAGCGGTGCATGACATAGTGGTGTTTATGCAGAATTAATGAGGATGAACTCCACAGATTTTATAATGCTGCAAATGGTGATTTTCCGTGCATGCTGTCATCTGTTAAGAAAACAATCCGTTGGAGGGAGACTTATAGAATTCTATCTAGAAAAGAACTTAAGATGTGGTCCAGTATGGTCTTCTGGCATGGAGTTGATTTGAGCCATCGACCTTGCCTTATTGTCCGCCTTGGGCTAGCTTGCATCAGTTTGCCATCTAATGAAAGACCTCGCTTTGTTCAAGCTGTTGGTATGTCTTTTCTGCTCTTACAAATTGTTTGGACACAATGTTTCATAAAATTGAAAATAATTCATTTTACACCATATTATAAAAGCAAATTTCGTGAGATTTCTCATCTGGCATTAATTTTCTGGTGTTGAGCTAAGCCTAAAACTTCTCTGATTTTTTTCCTTGTTTTGTGATCTAACATATGGTCAATGTCGTTCAGTTTCTTTCCTCAAACCCGTGTTCCATTAATGAAGATGTGAGTTGTGTCTGATAGCTCCAAACCCAGCTGTCGGTTGAACTAAGTAGCCTGCAATGCTTTTTCTCCAATATGCAAAGAAGCCTGTACTTTTTTCCCTTGTTTTCTCAGGAAAGAATAGAAGGATCTCTGAACCTTAATTGCTGTTTCACTCTCTCAACTTCTATCCTTTGAGGTGTCTGGCGGCCATTCTGCTACCAAATGGCCGCTGTATAAATTAACTCATAATGTATATATTTCATATCTAGTTGCAGTAATTCTTTGTGAATATTCTACTTATAAAAAGAGTACAATGATCAAGTTTCTTTTGTATGATTAGTACGGCGGAAAAATTATGTCAGAAAATATGGGGTCTGAAACAGAATTAGTTGCTGAAAACTTCAATTCCATGAACATTAAGTAACTTAAAAATGAAAGCCAAAATACATTTTTTGTTGGGGACACAGACGAAGGTAACTGTTTCATATGATCTAGTGGTGAGTTATGATATCTTTTAACTTGTGAAACCAACCACTGATTGATAGCCATATATTCCATCAAATATGATCTAGTGACTTCTTATGATGTCTTCAACTTGTGAAACCAGTAAGTTTGTTTTTTTTGCTATTGGAAACTGAGATATTCATACAGGTTAAGGAGTACAGAAACTATCTATTGTATGGACTCAAATCAGTTTGTAGAGCTGCCCTTGCTGCGTGTGGTAGTTCTTCAGCTGGAAGTGTACCAGTATATGCTAAGAAGGTGTTTCTGATCAGAAACGATATTAGTTATCGACCAATGATGCTTGATGTGCTCCAGAATTGTTGCATGAAACCATTAAGTTTAACGCATGTGGCTTCTGTTTCTTTTNAGTTTGCCATCTAATGAAAGACCTCGCTTTGTTCAAGCTGTTGGTATGTCTTTTCTGCTCTTACAAATTGTTTGGACACAATGTTTCATAAAATTGAAAATAATTCATTTTACACCATATTATAAAAGCAAATTTCGTGAGATTTCTCATCTGGCATTAATTTTCTGGTGTTGAGCTAAGCCTAAAACTTCTCTGATTTTTTTCCTTGTTTTGTGATCTAACATATGGTCAATGTCGTTCAGTTTCTTTCCTCAAACCCGTGTTCCATTAATGAAGATGTGAGTTGTGTCTGATAGCTCCAAACCCAGCTGTCGGTTGAACTAAGTAGCCTGCAATGCTTTTTCTCCAATATGCAAAGAAGCCTGTACTTTTTTCCCTTGTTTTCTCAGGAAAGAATAGAAGGATCTCTGAACCTTAATTGCTGTTTCACTCTCTCAACTTCTATCCTTTGAGGTGTCTGGCGGCCATTCTGCTACCAAATGGCCGCTGTATAAATTAACTCATAATGTATATATTTCATATCTAGTTGCAGTAATTCTTTGTGAATATTCTACTTATAAAAAGAGTACAATGATCAAGTTTCTTTTGTATGATTAGTACTGAGGAAAATTTATGTCAGAAAATATGGGGTCTGAAACAGAATTAGTTGCTGAAAACTTCAATTCCATGAACATTAAGTAACTTAAAAATGAAAGCCAAAATACATTTTTTGTTGGGGACACAGACGAAGGTAACTGTTTCATATGATCTAGTGGTGAGTTATGATATCTTTTAACTTGTGAAACCAACCACTGATTGATAGCCATATATTCCATCAAATATGATCTAGTGACTTCTTATGATGTCTTCAACTTGTGAAACCAGTAAGTTTGTTTTTTTTGCTATTGGAAACTGAGATATTCATACAGGTTAAGGAGTACAGAAACTATCTATTGTATGGACTCAAATCAGTTTGTAGAGCTGCCCTTGCTGCGTGTGGTAGTTCTTCAGCTGGAAGTGTACCAGTATATGCTAAGAAGGTGTTTCTGATCAGAAACGATATTAGTTATCGACCAATGATGCTTGATGTGCTCCAGAATTGTTGCATGAAACCATTAAGTTTAACGCATGTGGCTTCTGTTTCTTTTCTGAAGTACGACACTTGGTTTTTCATTATTTAAAGATGAACATGGAACTTGATAATTCTCATGGACAAATTCTATTGTTCACATTAAATCATAGCTGTTGATAGCCTACATACGAAGAAAGAAGCTCGCAAAAAGGAAAAAAAATAGAGTAAAGGGAAAACATGGTTATAGAGGAGTAAAAGACTACCAAAAGTTTTTTAGGATATGCAAAATACACAAAATACAAAGTTTCAAATGAAAATTTGTACAACTCAATCCAACTCAGCAAAACCTTTTGTCCTAACTACTTGAGATCCACTACATGAATCATGTTTCTCTGTTGTGCTCTATCAAGGTCAAAGAAACTAGGAAGGTGTGGGAACTTTTCCTTTTATGTTCCAGTCTTTGTATTAAGAAAGTTCCTGTCAACTCGTCAGGAAAATGTCAAAAAAAATTAGGAGAAATAGTGCTTGACATGTTTATCCTAGATAATTTTTATAGATAGGATGTGGTTGCTGCGTGAGGAATTCGGACCAAGCAGTACTGTTGTCTTTTTGACCATATGTGTTTAGACCACGAGGGTCTTATTTAATACTCTGAATAGCCTCAAATGAGTGGTAATGTCAGCCTATGTGTATTATGTTACTTGTTGTGATGAAAACCTTTTTAAGCTGTGGATGATTGCAACTGCAGTATCTCAGGTGGAGCACGGGATCCTGCATTTGGTTGACAGCGAAAATCCTCAAATTACAGTTTTAGTTGATTGTGAACGGCTGTCTCCTCTGCGATTGCCCATGCAAATGGTGAGAACGTGTTCTGTTCTTCTGCAAGATCACTTCCCAAACCGTCTTGGCTCTCTCTTTGTTATACGGCTTCCTCCTGTTGTTCGTATCATGGCACAAACTTTTATTCAAGTAAGCTCTAAACTCTGATTCAAATTGATTAGTTAATTTTTATTTTATTCTTTTCATTTATTCAAATGCTATTGAGACTCTTCTTCAGGTACTGAAACCTGTCACTAGGCAAAAGGTGAAAGTTGAAGGGGAAATGTACCAAAATGTTCTTTCCGAGTACCTTCAGACACTCCCATCATATCTTGGAGGGGAATGCACGTGCATGACATGTGGAAACCTTAACATGGGCAACATGCAACAACCTTGTATTAACGGGGAGACGAATGAAGGAGAGGCAAATGCCGATTTCAGTAGTGGTGAGGATCTGCTATCCCTCCATCCAAGTAGTCAAACCGATATGCACATGAATAATAACTGTGACCAGGTCTTGAGATCTGCCATGGTTGGTATCCTCATCTTCTCAGTTTTGATTGCTTTCTTTGCTGGATTTTTTGATCCTGAAACTCGTCCTGTTTTACCCCCCTTGAGGTAAGAATGTACCCCAACCCTTCCGATTTTATTTCGAATCTTCATCTGGTAGTTGCTGCATATTAGGACCAAAGGTTGGTGGCAAAGCTTGATTGCACTGTTAAAAGGAGTGCATGTAATAGCTCCTCTTACTGATGTCTCTTTATTATTGTTGTTGTTTTCAGTTATGGGCTAAACTACATACCCAAGAATTCTATTCTCGTACCCATAAATTCTCTATTTTTGATAATCGGGTAATTAGATCTAATATATGTTCTACCATTTCTATTCAGTTGTACTTTGGATTTAGATTTCTTCCGATGCTTTTTTTTTATTATTATTTTTCTTCTTAATAAATTATTCATTACTAATGAGTAAGAGATTCACTTAAATACAAGGAAAATGTTATTTGGACCAAAAATCTGACATAATTTGTTGGTTTAATGACGTGGCTTCATTGGTACCATTGGATAAACACCAAGTTCTAATGTTTGATGGAGTCCACAATTAATTCTAAAGTCATACTAAATTAAATCACTAAATTAGGTCTTAATAGCGATGCTCATTTGAGAGAATTTCATTTGGTATATACTTTATGTCAAACACTTCAGTTTTCCTCCCAAATGGAATCCTCAAAGATATCTACCCTATATAACAAAAAATAAATGGGAGAATTATATTTAGATCTCTTGAAGTTTGTAACTTAATCACTCAGATCTTTTGATATTTGAAATATTATACACAAATCCTCTGACATTTGTACGTACTAACACTTAGACCCCTGCTGTAAATATATCTGTTAATAAATTATACTTAGACCCTCTTGAAGTTTGTAGGTATTTAAATTTTACAACTAAAATTTATGTTTTATTGTATCATTTATTGAAATAAAAATAAAAATAAAACAAAAAAAAAATCAAATAAGGGGTCTAAATCATTCATAATAGAACATAAATTTTACATCTAAAATTGATGTTCTATTATATCATTTATTGAAATAAAATCAAAAATAAAAATCTAGTTTTAAATAAAATCATAGTTAATATATAATTATACTATTTATTACAATAAAACTAAAAAATTAAACAATGGGTCAAATTGTAATAGACATGATATCTTTTAACTTTTAATTAGGGTAATTTGTTATTTTAATTTGGTCGTTTAAACGATCAAATTAAATTCCAATAAACAATATAATTGTATACTAATTACGATTTTTTTAAGAAAAAAATGAATTTTTTTAAGAAAAAAATGAATTTTTTTAAGAAAAAAATGAATTTTTTTTTTGATTTTATTTCAATAAAAGATACAATAAAACATGAATTTTAATTATAAAATTTAAAATATTTTATATTTTATATTTGATTGAAGTATTTTTGATTTAAGTATAATATTTTAAATTTAATGGCTCTAAGTAATATATGTTTATAAACTTTAAAGGGTCTGAGTGTAATTTATTAAAGAATATATTTATAACATAGGTCTAAGTATTATGCGTGTACAAACTTTAGAGGGTCTGTGTATAATATTTTAAATGTCAAAGAATCTGAGTGATAAAGTGACAAACTTCAAAGAGTCTCCGGATGTAATTCTCCCAAAATAAATTGACCCCCTCCTCTTTTACTTGAGTCACCTATGACCTAAGATTTGGGCAATTTTTATTTTATGGGAAAATGATGATTTAGGAAATTTTTCTAAATCGGAATTCCACTATATTTTCTGAGTTTACTTAGAATTTATAATGGCCAAACACGTGTCCTCGAGCTGTCTTCATCCAAGATAAAATTGAGAAAAGAAATAAAATATTAGGGTGAATTATACAGTGTACCTTAAAAGATTTTAATTTTTTTATTTTGTACTCTTAAAATTTTAATTTTTCATATTATAAATTTAATATATCAAAAATGTTATGACCTAAAAAACACAAAATATTAAGTCACGGAGTGGTTCGTCACCATGCACTGAGGGAGGAAAAACCAAACCGACATAAAAAAAAAGATTCACTTTGGGACATAGTTTTAAAACCCGGCCCGAACATCAACACGGTGAATGGACCGGGTCAATGGGTCACTGGTTGAATCGGTAATATAATAAAAAATAAAAAAATAATTATAAATAATAATAAATAGGCTAAAAAATCACAATAATTATAAAAATGACATCAAACACATAAAGTCAAGTAGATAAAAATCATCAAATATGTATCCAATTTCAATGAATTCAATTTTCAATACAACTTGTAAAGTTAAGTAGAGAAAAATACTTCTATTGAAGTTCAAGGTTCCAAGTTTAAGTTCAACTCTTCGATAATGTATCAATCTAAGCATAATCCATGTAATTTGCACTCTTTAAAGTTCAAACTTTGAACTCAAACTGTAGTAAGCAAAATACATCAAAACAAAACAAAGCATATGAGCATAGCATAAAAACTCAGATAAACGAAACTGAAAATAAATTATCCCTAGTTCCACTTGAAAATACAAATATTACCACTACTATCAATTAACTAATTTACAACCCAATTATATATAATGAACAATAAGAATCCCAAACAAACCATAAGTTCAATATCACAATTCATAAAATGACAAAACTAGAAACACACTAGTGACCAGCTTTGTTCGGGAAATAGAAAATTCAATGTACATATCATTCACAGATGTCAGTGAAAGAGACAAAAAGGCCACTAATCTAGTGGACTCCAGACCTTCATAAACAATCTTTCCAACAATTATTAATCATTAGAAAACTCAAATGCCACTTAGTTAGAACCACAAATTTGAACTTTGAAAAGGCATTGTCGATTGCCATGGATATAGGCTCAAAATCAACTCGCCCAGTATTTAAAGAGTGGAAATCCATGATAATATGAAGCTAAATATAAAAGAAAAATACAAATCGACTCAATCTCCTAAAACCCATTATCATCATCACGCGGGTGGGTCAACCATCACCACCATCCGCTGGGCACATGCACAGCAAACTCATATGAGCCGCCCATAATCTTCTTCAGAAAGTAGCAATTAATAAGACAACCCACCTGTTGGAATCGACTGGACTGCCTGCTGGATGGAATCGAGGGTTGCTGACTGTGGACTCTAGACTGGATCACTGGTGATCACTGCTAGAGTTGATCGTTGCTACTTGTGGTCAATTGTTGGGGTGGAGGGTGGAGGCTGCTCGTGGTCAATCGTTTGGTTTGAAACGATTTAGGGCAAAACGCAAAACAAAAGAGGAAAGGGAAAAGACACAAAATACCCAAATAATAAAAAAAATCTCATATTTATACTAAAGAAATTAAACCAGCCAGTTTTATAAATTCGTCCGATTCTCATAGATTTATTAATTTTTGACCGGTTCAACGGTTTTATGGCGAGTTCTTTACATAAACAGTCCGATAACAAAACCAAAACCGGCCCAATTAGGAGACCGGTTCACTGAGTTGAACTGTTGAGCCGAACTGGGTTTTAAAACACTGCTTTCAAATTCTAGACGGGTAAGACAACTTTTGAGCCATTATTTTGTTTTTTCGTTGGAAAACACTTGATATGACATGACACAATTTTCGTCGCTGAATATTAATGGAATTCACTTATTTAATGGTGAAAAATTATGTCACATCATTTGGGATGAAAATTTGATAAAAAAATTTAGTAAGCGTAACATTATCCGTTTTCGTTATCAGTATTTTTTAAGGGTAAAGTTACGATACTGAAGTCGGTATCGTACATCTATTATTTTTAATCGCTGATTTTAAATTGAATAATTTATAATTAATTATAAAAAAAATAGTAAAGTATTAAAGAATCATCAAATGAAAAAAATTATGCATGTGACTTATTTTTATTAGTTTAAAATTAATATACAATATTGAAAATTTCAATACCGTAATGTGACTCGTTTTAGTATTTACCTTCATATTGGACTATAACTAGTAATGTACCAATATGTGTTCTTAACTTCTCTCCCTGGTTCTCATGAAGCGTGAGGTACAGCAAGTGGTTATACAATAGTGCTTAAAATACATATGAAGAAAATAAAGAAAAGAACCTCTTAGCATACCAGACTTCCAAAATGATCCATCCTCAATTTCAGATTTTTTCAACTTTACTTTCCAAAATTTTTTTGTGAATTACAATCATATCTATGTTAAAGTTATTGGGTCTATCGGGTTCAATTAGATTCGGTTCTATGTTTCAACGAATTGTATCCATTGAATAGATTCGGTTCTATGTTTCTCATCGGGTTCAATAAAATTAAGTTTTTAAAACTTTTTATTGATTATCCACTTTAATTGAGTTTAAATAATTTCAGTTACATATTTTTTAATTGAGTTTTGAATTTTCAATTGCATATGTGTATCTAATTTATTTGTGTATATTAAAGACTAAAAATTAATCATCTTACAAATAGTTTTAAAGGGTATGTGTATAAGTTACTAATTTAATGGTTATATAAGTGGCTTTGAGATAGCTTTTGACCGGCAATGAAATCAACACTCCAGAAGGCCTTCCAATTGCTCATTTCAGTTTTTTTTACACTTGGCATACCTTTTCAACTATCATCTATTATTTTATTTTTTGACAATTCGATTCAAGTCAGATTTATTCCAATTTTTCAGTGGACTTAACCATTGATAAGGTGTTGTTGCGAGCATCTGGGTTGGATCTTAGAATCATTGGTGTCCGTCAGTACCCTCACATGGAGAGGCTCAACTACTTTAGAACAGTTATCACACGCCTCTCGAACTCGCATGTCAACTCTTTCCTTTTATCTTATATATTATATTTATACATTCTGTTTTATCTAAATTTAAATTACTTGTTGGTTTTCCTATTTATATATATATACTCGTATTCTAATTTATTTAATTATAACCACAAGTTATATTTTTATCAATTTAGCTATTGTTCTTCCTATTCATGAGCATTTTATTATTATTGACCACATACCATTATTAAAAGTGTTAATAATCTTTTTTCGTATTATTGCTCTTATCTCATCTACTGTTTATGTGTTAAAATA